AAAAAAAAAAGAAAGTACAATAAACTTAAATAGCCAAAGCATTCTTGAGAAAAAAGAACAAAGCCAGAGGAACATCATAATTTACCATTTCTTATTTATTTATTTATTTATTTATTTATTTATTTTTGAGATGACGTTTTGCTCTTTTTGCCAGGCTAGAGGGCAACGGCACCATCTTGGCTCACTGCAACCTCTGCCCTCTAGGTTCAAGCGATTCTCCTGCCTCAGCCTCCCAATTAGCTGGGACTACAGGCATGCCACCACACCTGGATAATTTTTACATTTTTAGTAGAGATGGGGTTTCACCTTGTTAGTCAGAACCACCCTCCTCAGCCTCCCAAAGTGCTGGGATCACAAGCATAAGCCACCATGAGCAGCATAATTTTCAATTTCAACCTATATTTTAAGACTATAGTAATATAAACAGAATGGAATGTGCAGAAAAATTAACAAAGAAACCTCTAATGCAACAGAAATCACTACTCTCACATATTTCAGACATGATGCAAAAAGAGAACTAATAGTTTAACATAGAGGTTCTCAAAATTGTACAAATATTTGTGTGTCCCCCCCAAACAATTAAAAAGCAGTCAGATTGTACAGTCTCTAATATGCCATGAAGAGGACTTTGGCTCTCACTGGAAATAAAGGAAGGTCACCCAGGGAAAAGTAGAATTTTTAGAGAATTTAAAAGCATAAGACAAAAGATGCCCCCATGTGAGAGAAAAATTTAACAAAATACTCAGGCTTCCCAAAAACTATTTGCTTTTCCACATAGCTTCCCAAATCAAGTTGTAAGAACTGGCTTTTTTTTTTTTTTCCCACCTTTGGACCTCTCATCAGTGTTGTCTGTTGTATTCACTTTCACCTACCTTTGGGTCTGGCCACCATCTCATGTCTCTTCATGTTACAGGGCTCTTTTCTTTGCACCAGACAGGTGATCGGGTTTTGCTTGGAGACAGTAATACCTGCTTTATTAAAAATAAATAACATGCATCATTCTTATATTCTCTAATTACTAACCTAGTACTGTGCTCAGTAAAAAGTACGTGATAGAATATTCTAGAAAATCCCCAAATACTAATTAATGAGAGACATCTCTAAATATTTAGAAAATATTTTAAATTTGTAGGTCCTTAATTTTACTACCTGGTACTCATGAATCAAAAATTGATGGTGGTAAATAGAGTTTAAAATATGGGCAATGATATATTATGCCACTAAATTTCAGGAATTACCATTAATCTAGAGTAAAGGATACAGGTCAGCTGAGGAATGTGGAAAGTTCAGGTCAAGATGAAACATGCTGAATAAATTCTTTTCTACATCAACAAATCATCAAGATTTTCTTAAAATAGAAATCAGAAAGTCATTTATACAAAGCATAAAATTACCAAAATAAAAAATTCTACAGAAAAAGAGACATAAAACTTTTAGGATATATTAAGAATTGTATATTAAAGTTATATTCACCCAAGAAGACCAGGTTTCTGTAGTTCTCTAACATCACATTTCTATATAAATTCTGCTGAGCAGGGTTCAGGCATTGCCACTCCTCCAGAGAGAATTCTATGGCCACATCCCTAAATGTCAGAGTCTCCTGAAAAACACACAGACACACATATATTTAACAGGTGGCCATGGGAAGAATTTCTTATTTGAGTTAAGGTGAAATGAGAGAGTAAAGACAGTTGGTTCTGACTTATAAAAATAACTGAAATCCAATAATTTTCAATAATTATCCAATAATTATAAAAATAACTGAAATTATCCAATAATTTTCAACACAGAAATATTCTCTCATGTATTTTCTTCCTTTGAGGGAAGAGGATGGCATAAGATACACATCACCAGTGCCTATCTGATACTCTTCTGGATGATAAACTGTGGGTGGGAGACCCCATAAGTATGAGGAAGGAGTCAGAAGCCTCAGCCTGTTCCCATATAAATAATGAAGAAGAAAATAACTAGAGATATAACTATACTAGTTATTCCTAGGTTATCTTAGTTATTCATAGGTAACCATTAAGATATATATACATATACTCGGCATAATCTTTTACTAAAGCCTCTCAGGTTGAAGTATGAACCTAAGGTGACATTGTGAAAGAAGTGACCCTAACACAAGACACTCTAAGCCCTCTGTCATGCCCATCTAAGGGCTGCTGGAGGGTGCCTTGGCTGTGCAGCAGCGCCAACACTGGGAAAGTGCCCGCTGTGGAAGGGGACGTTTACAATATCTCCTTCTCTAGAGGAGCTAGGAGAAAACTCTGCTCCCCCAAGCTCTTGTGGTATGTGACATCCAGGAACTGAACTGTCTCTATGTGATGCTGTGCTTCAGTGATCACATTCCATATCCACTTTCATGTTCCACTTCTGCACCTGGTTCTTCTTTCTCTTAGAAGATATTAGTAATACTAACATAAATCTTAAGGTCTTTATTCTTTCTTGACAAGTATGAAAAAACTGTTGGCGCATTATGCTTCTTACCTCATCTCGGCTACTTGAAAGTTCTGGGCCACCATTCCTATGGCATATAATTTTCTTGACCCTACCACTGACAACCATGACCTCATCCTACCTACCCTGCCCCCTGCTTTTTACTCAATAAAAGTCAGAGTGTCCAGGCACTTGGGGCCACTGCCGGACTCCAAGCTTTGGCTGGCAGTGGACCCTGGGCCCAAACTCTGTTTTCTCTTTCTCGGTGTCTTGTGTCTTTTATTTCCACAGTTTCTCATCTCCACACCTACAGAGGGGCTTCACAGGACCCTGTAGGGCTGGACCCTACAATAAAATATATAATTAAGGACATAAACACAAATGTATACATTTTTTAATACTATATTTACATCATAATGAGTTGTGTATATTTTCGGACAAAGAAAACATGATGAGTTATAAGGTAACTCTCAAATTT